TCTGTTCTCACTGTGAAAGATGGTGTTTGGAGTCACATGGGCAAGTTACATGTTCATCACCCTCACCCATATCCTAGTTAGAACGTTCACAAAAAGTCCATTAAGTGGAGACAGGCATTTTCCAGGGTCCATTGTGAGCTAAGTGTTCCTTAATGGACCATTCAACTTAACTTGTCCCTTCATATGCTGGCTAAATACCTTGTGGGTGTTACCACAGAAACAAACACAGCTAAAATTCATAACTTCAGATACTAAGATTAATATACATGCATAGAAATACATCCACATACATAGAAATAGAACAATACATCCACATACATAGAAATAGCATAATCATAAGTACCAGCTATTTCACCTACATGACTATTCCCAAAAGAGCTTCTGAAAAATCACACCACGTACGTGAGACCCTGTGTGCTAGCACCATGCCCCACTGGAGTTTTGTTATCTGTTATATAACAGAGATGGAGCCAGTGACATGACTCTGTTTAGCCTAAAAGGGTAAGGTTAATTTTCAGCTGTTCAGGTGTGACTGCACCTTTAGTCAGTGACGGCATACTGGGTGGCACACATTCAGGTTAATGGGCTTCAGCGTTCCTTTGCAGTTAACTTTTTAATGTTCATAAACCTCGTATGTGCTGAGGTGGTTTAAAGCATAACGATTGCAAATCTGTGAACCTCTGCCTCTTTGAGATGAATGTCATGGATAATTCAGACCAATGGAGAGAAACAGAATCAAAACCACTGTTTAAACTACTTCCGTTCCTCCCTCCCCCACACCCTCCCAGGACTCCTGACCAACTTAACAGCACAGTACATATGCTAACAAACTTTAAAAAGGTCTTTGTTTAAGTTTGTTAGCATATGTTAACATTGTTAATTTGTTAGAAATGTTAAAGCCATATAAAGAATGAATGCCCTTCCTAGCAGTGTTCTGTTCTTTTAAGGAGCAGAGCGCAGCCCCCACCCCTGGATGCAGGGGCTAGCCCCAAGTCTTTCTGGTACCCCATACCCACTAAAAATCTCTTGCCAGTACTGTGTACTGGAAAGTACCATCCTACTTGCACTACTGGTTAGGATAGAAAAGACAACCATCTAGGTTCTATTTCTGAATTTCCTACAAACTTCCTGTGTGTGACATTAGGAAAATCAGTTAAGGTTATTTTCAGGGATACAAAGCATCCTTAGCTCCCACTGTGGATGTTCAACAATTCTGAAAATCATGTCCTTAATATCTCTGTGTTCCAGTTATGCTGCCTCTAAAACAAATATAATAATACTTCCTATCACAAGTTGAGAATTTAAATAAACAGAAGTAAGGTTCCATTTTATGATTCTTGTAGCAACTGTAGAGTTACATGTGCACATAGCAAAATACAAATCTGACATAATACACAGCTATGATTTATTTATAGAGAGGATTCACTAAATTAACTGTCAATAGCTGGGGACAGCATTATTCCCTATGAAATAATAATTTTCTAATGTACTAACCATAGTTTATACGCAGCAGTGCTCTCTAGTGGATGGTATATCAAACCTATTCAAGAGTATGTCACAAGGCCTAATACTAATACAGGAAAAAGAGATTCTTCTATAGCTCGTGTTGGGACCTACGTTTTGGAAGGACAGAACCAGAGTTCTATATTCCTATCTACAATCAGTGTCTTGAGTGGCAGCTGTGTGTGACACAGCAGAAAACCAGGACACCAAATGACCATGGAATGCAACATAGCAGCCACCAGGAATTAGGGTGACCAGATATCCCAATTTTATAGGGACAGTCCTGATTTTGGGGTGTTTTTCTTCTATAGGCTCCTCTTACCCCCCAGCCCAATCCCAATTTTTCACACTTGCTGTCTGGTCACCTACCAGGAATACTTTGAGTGGCCATGACTCTGACAGAAAGCAGGAGAAACTCAGGTGCACAGGACTTCAACAGTGAATGTTGATCTTTGTCCATTGATTTAAATTGCCCACCCGAAAACGAAAATGAATGTGGAATTGCTGCATTGATTATTGTTGCAAGATCTCTGCTGCTGCAGGCAAGTCACTTCAGCCTAGCTGTGGGGGCCAAACCTGGTGGAAGGAAGCCTCCTGAGAGTGGCACTTGTGCGGGACATACCTGGAGAGATGACCCCCTGGGGAAGACCCTGGGAGGGGGTGTCAGTTTGTGGGGGAGAGGCCCTAGGGCAGGAGTGTCGATGTGAAAGAAGGGATGTGGCTCATGCCCAGAGGAGGGGGTGTCAATGTGTGGGGGACAGGCCATGGGGTGGAGCTCTCATGGGGGCAAGGGGACATGGGGATGGACCCTGGAGTGCGGGTGTCGGTGTGGAGGAGAGGGGCCGTGGGGCAGGCCCTCAGGAGAATGTGTCACTGTGTGGGGACAGGGCTGTGGGACCGGCTCTGAGGCGGGTTTGTGTGGGGTGGGGCCATGGCATGAGACTTCTGTGGGGGAGGGGGTGGTGGAGCAGGGGTGTTGGTGTGCGGGGCTGAGGTCCTGAGGTGGGGGTGTTGGTGTGAGGGGGCAGGGCTCTGGGGCCAGTACCGGGTTTACAATGGCACCAATGGCGCCAGGCCCACACTTGGAAGGGGCCCGTGGGGGCCCACAAAAGGTTAATCTGGCCCTGGCCCCAGCCCAGCAATGCAGAGAGCCCGCTGAAATGTTCAGGAGCCCAGGGAGCGCAGGGCACGGGCATAACAGGGACTGGGTGTTGCGGGAGTTGTGGTTCACTGCATTCCGCCGGGTCCCTTGGACCTGCGCCGCTAGCTCCCAGACTGCCCTGCACCACGCTGCAAACCATCCCAGCTGAAGCGGGTGGCAGTGGAGTGAACCAAAAAAAAAATTATCCAAAGCAAGGGAATGGTTCAGGGAGAGGGTTCCTGGTGCTGGAGCGCTGATCCCGCTGCATCCCCTTACCCCATGTGGCATGGCGTGGGGGCTCCGGTCCTGGATCGGTCTCCTCCTGCCCCGAGCCTCCCCCGCTCTCCTGGAGTGGAGGGCCAGGGACGGCAGCAGTGCTGTGACTCCTGGTAGTCACCCTCCCAGCCACCCTGATGCCTGGCTGCAGGCTCCTGGGCACCATCTCCACCGTGCAGGTTCACGCTGGGGGGAGGGGTGTGTGTCCTCCATCACCACCGGGGGCCAGCATGGAGAAGGCCGGTTGTCTGTTGCACCCAGGGGTAGGGGACGGTGACAGCAGAGCTGGGCGGTGCTGGTTGCCACCCCCCCTGCCAGTGGGAATGCCCAGAAAGTTTCCCCCACACTCCATGGAGGGAAGAGGGTAGAGCACAGGTGGCGGGGGGGGGGGAGGGGAAGTTGTGGGGCAATTCCAGGTGTAACAGGTGACTCTGTGTTAGTGGGTAGGAGAAGTGGGATGTGAAGGTAGGGATTGGGGGTGGCTAGAGGGAGGGGAAAATCTGGGGGTGGGTGGGTGGATGGGGGGGGCAGCAGCTTGGAGCTTGAGAAGAGACCTTGTGTGAAGGTAGGGGTTAATTATGTGTATGGGGGGGGAGAGTAGGAGGGATGGCAGGGGACGAGCCCTTGTGTAAAGGTTGGGGTAGAGGTTTGAGGCTGGATTGTGGTAGCCTTGGTGATAAAGTGTGTGTTTATGTCTCAGTGGCCCTTTTTCCCTGCAAAAGATGGGCACCAGCAATTTTCCTCCCCACACTCCTCTCCAGTAACTTTACTGTTTCACTTGAAGTCATGAGTGGGGCCCTACCAAATTCATGGTCCATTTTGGTCAATTTCACAGCCAGTGGATTTTATAATTGGTCAATTTAATGATTAAATGATTAAATTTAATGATTTAATTTAATGATTAAAAATATTTACATCTGAAATTTCACAGTGGTGTAACTTTGAAGGTTCCAACCCAAAATGGGATTGTATCGTCATAGCGGGGTCACAGGATTTCCACCCTCAGCATTGCTTTCAAAGCTGGGCTCAGAAGGGAGCAGCTGCTGAACTTCCTGCAGTTAGAGGAGGTTCCCAGAGGCAAAGATGGGTCCCATGCTATTGGGAGCAGCCCAACTGGGTGGTCCTGGCTGCTAGTCCCGGCCAGCGGAGCATTAATACAGGGCCCCTGGCCAATTTGGGGCCCCCCAGAAAAATGGGTGCCCCGAGCCCCGGAAGAAGCCCCAGGGGCAGAAGCCCTGATTCTCATCACCCCGAGCCCTAGCAGGAGCCATGGGGCTGGAAACCCCAAGCCCAGGTGCCCCAAGTGCGGGTGCCCCAAGCTCCGGCTGCAGCCACAGGGGTTGAAACCCCAAGCCTGGATGCCCCGAGTCCCAGCTGCAGGGCGGAAGCCCCGAGCCTGGGCACCCAGAGCCTCGGCTGGAGCCACAGGGGGCGGAAGCCCCAAGTCGGGATGCCCGGAGTCCTGATTGGAGTCATGGGAGACGGAAGCCGTGAGCCCTGGCAGGAGCTCCCAGAGGCAGGAGTCTTTGGGGGTGGAAGTAGGGCTGCCAACTGTCTAATCACACAAACCCAAACACCCTTGCCCTGCCCCACTCACTCCATTCCCCCCCCCCCCCCCACACACACACACGTGTTCACCAGGCTAGGGCAGGGGGTTAGGGTGTGGGCTCTGGACTGGGTGGGACCGAGAGGTTCGGAGTGTGGAAGGGGGCTCCGGGCTGAGTCTGGGGCAGGGGGCTGGGGTGCAGGAGGGGGTGGGGAAGCCCCAAGCCCAGGCACTCCGAGCCCTAGCTGGAGCCACAGGAGGCAGAAGCCCTGAGCCCAACGGGAGGGGGGGGGCTGAGCTCCGCAACAAGAGCAGCCATGCAGGGCAAGGGCAAGGGCAACTCCTCCCCCAGCCCAGCCCAGCCCAGCCCAGCAGCTCGGAGCCCCCGGCTGGGGCGTGCCCAGCAGCCGGCAGGGCGGAGAGGTCTCCGGGATCGAAGGGAGGAGGGGGGGCGGGTTTGTGGGGGAGGGGCTGTCGGTGGGCGGGGGCGGGCCGCGGAGCAGACTCTGGCCCGAGTCCGCCAGCACTAGGGGGCGGGCGAGCTCTCCCCGCCTTTGCGTCTGTCGCGGCGGGGCCGCTCGGTTTCCTGCTCCTCCGCCGCCCTCTGGGCAGCTGCCGAGCCGGGTCGAGTCTGCAGCCGCCGCCGAGTGAGGAGGGGCCGGGCGGCCGGCCGGAGCGCAGGTAAGGGGCTCCCCGCGTCCCGGCCTGGGCTCGGGCCCACCAGGCTCAGAGACCCTGCGCAGCCCGCCCCCGCCTCGCCCGGCGTGTCCCCGGCCAGGTCGCCCCCTGAGCGCCCGCCCTCCTCCCAGCCGGCCTGTGCCCTCTGCTCCGCCCCGCGTGTGCCCTTTGCGCTCTAGCGGCGCCGAGCCTCGCCTGCCCCGCTGCCACGTTCCTACCTCCCGCTCGGCTTCCCTCGCTCGGACCGGCCGGAGCTCGGAGGTGCCCTGCACCGCTCTCCTCCTTCACCCGCAGAGTCTCACTTCCCCCTTCCTCACCCCCGGCCTACGCCCCTTGTTCCTCCCCTTTGGCTGCCTCCTGTGCCAGCAGAATAAACCACCCTCCAGCCCTGAGCCCTTTCCATGGGGTCTCAACGTCCCTGGCAGCTTTGCTCTTCTTCCCTTGCTCCACAGACTAGTTTCCTCCTTGGGGCTGCTGCTCCACCAATCTACGCTCCAAAAAGGGGGGAAATTGGGCTGTTCTGCACCCGGTCTCTGTATCTCCCCCCTGCTCCAATGTGGGGGAAAAAAGGGGGAAAAATGACTCTAAATGTAAGCAAAAAGGAGTACTTGTGGCACCTTTTCTCTTTGCGAATACAGACTAACAGGGCTGCTACTCTGAAACCCATAAATTTAAGTTTGCACAGGACCAAAGGAAGGAGTCGGGTGGAAATGAGAGTTTGTGTGCGGGCTCCAGGCCATTGAATCAGAGATGAAGTGTGTGGAGAGAGGTATTTCAGGTGTAGAGAGAGAGCTGGACACTTCCCAAACTAGTATTATGGATGCATTCCTCACAGAGAAGAGATAAAGTGTGCAGGTGTCTGATACCTTTTGACTGGGTATGCTTACAGTGATTTAGAACTTCAGTATTAATAGCTGTAAACGCAAATGGGCTTTTCTGGTTTTCACTGTTGTTTGCAATCAGCTGCTATTGATGCAAAACAACTTAAAATAGAATTAGCCCTTCCATTTCAGTTTTGAATTGTGTACCTTTGTTTCTCTCTTCACATCTTTATCCTATTATTTGTAGAAATGCATTTCTAACATTTTATCCTTGATACATAATAAGTAAGCATGATTTTTCTTTCCAGCTCAACTTTCCTCATATGTGACTTTGTAGCCTGATGCCAGTTCTGATGCCGTCAATCATCCAACAGTGAAAAGCTTTAGTTTCTCTAAAGACCTAGCCTAGTTTTATCAGTATAACTATAAAAAGAAAAGGAGAACTTGTGGCACCTTAGAGACTAACAAATTTATTTGAGCATAAGCTTTCATGAGCTACAGCTCACTTCATTGGATGCATCAGCTGTAGCTCATGAAGGCTTATGCTCAAATAAATTTGTTAGTCTCTAAGGTGCCACAAGTCCTCCTTTTCTTTTTGCAAATACAGACTAACATGGCTACTACTCTGAAACCAGTATAACTGTCAATTAAGGGGCTGACTTTTTTTTATTTAAACCAGTGTGACTTTACTCTGGTTGTGACTTTACTCTGGTAAAAGCCCTACTGTGGAGACAGTTATACAAATATATCATACTAGCATAGTTATTCCTTTTCTTGTCTGGGAATAGCAAAGCCAGTGTAAAGTGCCATTATATTGATAGAACTGTGTTCATACTAAGGGGATTGTACTGTGTTAACTCTGTCAGTTTTCTAATATAGACAAATCCCTTATGTTGTGGGAGAAGGAGGAAATACTGCTGTAAAGAAGAAAAAGTAATTTTTTAAAATAGCATTTTATTAAATGTTCTTTAACTGATCATGGAAATCATCAATACAAAAGTTGTCTATGGATAACCTGACATTCAACAAAACACTAAAGCAGAGGTGGGCAAACTACGGCCCACGGGCCACATCCGGCCCACGGGACCCTCCTGCCCGGCCCCTGAGCTCCTGGCCCGGGAGGCTAGCTCCCGGCCCCTCCCCTGCTGTTCCTCCTCCCCCGCAGCCTCAGTGCACCATGCTGCCTGTGTAATGTATTAAACTGCTCTGCGTAGGAATGTGCTACTGGTAGCAGTTACGGAGATCAATTTACTACACTACACCAGCACAGTGCTCTGGGCTGCGCGGCCAGCCACCAGTGCTCTGTGCTGCGCGGTAAGGGGGCAGGGAACAGGGCAGTTTGATAGAGGGCAGAGGAGTTTGAGGTGGTGGGCGGGGGGTATGGATGGGGTCAGGGCAGTCAGAGGGCAGGGAACGGAGTGCTGGGGGTTGAATGGGGGCAGGGATCCCAGGGGGTCAGTCAGGAAGGAGGGGGCTTGAATGGGGCAGTCAGGGGCAGGGGTTCCAGGAGCGGTCAGGGGACAGGAGCGGGGTGTGTATGTGTGTGGATGGGGCAGGGGTCCTGGGGGGCCATCAGGGAACAGGGGGAGGGTTTGGATGGGGCTGTCAGGGGGCGAGAAGCAAGGGGGACAGATAGGGGGCAGGGGCACAGGCACAGCCTCCCCTAATCGGCCCTCCATACAATTTCCAAAACCCATTGTGGCCCTCCGGCCAAAAAGTTTGCCTGCCCCTGCACTAAAGACATTGCTGTAGGGACCAGTCCTGCATTGGCAGGGTAATGAGCTGAGGAACCAATTCTGCAGTTGGGTACATCCTCATGGATCTTATTGGAGGATCTGGGTCTAAATGACCTAGTACATCACTTTGATCTCCAGTTTTTCTACTTCTGTGATTGTGAAGTAGAAAGATTTATTATTATAGATTTATTATCTATATTTACCTATCTTTGCGCATCTGTCACTGTAGTAGCTACATGCAACTAGATAGTGTAAAGCCCTGTCTGCCCTGGATTCCATTTTTGCCTGAGCCACTAACTATCTATGGGACCTTGGTCTTTACTCCAGTTTTCCCACATGTGAAATTGGTATAATGATACTTACCTACTTTTGTAAAAGCCTTTGATAACTGATGAAAAGCATTATATAAATGTGAACAGTTATTTAATAATAATTACATAAAAATACATGAACCCATCTAAATGGCTCACACTAAAATTACTCGCTTGTCAAGGACTGAAAACACTGGATAACCAGATAATATTTTATATTAAGTTACAGAGTTCAATTTGTGCATTTGTGGTATAGAAATAATTCACTAAGGCCCTGATCTTGTGAACACTTGTGCATATGCTTAATTTTACTCACCGGGGTATTATTGAAATTAATGGGACTACTCACGTGAGTAAAATAAAGGATATGCATAAGTATTTAGTAGGGTTGAGGTCTAAAGGAGTAGGCACCTATACTGCAAATGCTTACTCACACTCTAGTGGTCCTTTTGATATCAGTAGGATTACTATTTGTGAGGAAGGTTTTTTTTTAGGTTTGTAGTTATTTTTATTTTTGTAATCATTCTACTACTAAACACTAAAGCATTTAACCTAATCCCCATACAACAGAATGTTAATAGTATTTAGTAGCTGTAGCAGTACTGGTAGTCCTAATGTGCTGGAATCAGAGTGCAATCAATAGCTGATAGTTGGATCAAGGTCAAAGTTTCTAGCAGTAAAGACTATATCCTATCCATCCAGCCTCTTCCTTTCAGATTCTAAATACCACAAATACACACATACCAGTTGCTTTTAACATATCACAGAAATTAAGTAAGACAGATGGGCTGGCATTTCTCACTAGTCAAGAGTATACCTGTGTGTGATAGCTAAATGTCAGAGGCTTGAGGGGAGGCTTCAGTGACACATAATTTTCTGTTAATTTCATGGCAAGTTACCACTCATTTAGTTAAGCATGGAGACACACTTGGAGGACTAGCTGCATCTCTGTCCTCTGTTTGAGTGTACCTCTTAAAGTGTTAGACCTTGTATCTTTACCTCACGGGGGTAGAATTCCATATTTCTCCCACATTTAGACCAGGTGTGGTACTACCCGTGTTTCAGGCATGTTTTCCGAGCCAAGTCCGACTGGATTCGGCACCTGTTCTTCTCTTTAGGAGTCTGACACCAAACAGCTGACTTAAACCAAAGTATTGTTTAATCTTAATAATAGGAATAAAGCACTTTGAGACATTTTTTTTAACAGTCCCTCTTAGTTAAAGCCGTACCATTCTGTGATTAGAAAAGGAGGACTTGTGGCACCTTAGAGACTAACCAATTTATTTGAGCATAAGCTTTCGTGAGCTACAGCTCACTTCATCGGATGCATTCCGATGAAGTGAGCTGTAGCTCACGAAAGCTTATGCTCAAATAAATTGGTTAGTCTCTAAGGTGTCACAAGTCCTCCTTTTCTTTTTGCGAATACAGACTAACACGGCTGCTACTTTGAAACCTGTCATTATGCATTCTGTGATTGTGGGCCAGATAGGCCTAGCTTCTTTAGACACCTCAGCAGACCCTGGATGTCAGCTTGAACAGCTCCGCAGCAGCAACAGGACTGGCCTCTGGACAAAGAGTCATTTTAACTGTTGATAGTGCAATTTATCTGCTGGCTACCAACATTGGGCCCATGTGGCAAAACAAGTTTTGTAAGGAGCCTGAAGATAAACTGATTATCACTACAAAAGGGTCGTCCCCCCCACCCCACCCCGCTGGTAATCGCTCACCTTTGTACAGTGTGTATGGTAACACCCATTGTTTAATGTTCTCTGTGTACATAAAATCTCCCTGTTGTATTTTCCGATGCATGCATCCGATGAAGTGAGCTGTAGTACACGAAAGCTTATGCTCAAATATATTTGTTAGTCTCTAAGGTGTCACAAGTACTCCTTTTCTTTTTGCGGATACAGACTAACACGGCTGCTACTCTGAAACCATACAGTAAAGACCCTAATAAGCAGGTAACTATATGGTATTCATGGAGCAGCTCCACATCTGGCACAGGTGGGACAGGGCATATAGGAGAGAACTTGATTTAGATGCATAAGTGGCAATATTTTAAGAAGAGAAGGATACTACAGCAAGAGTTTTGGAGTTTAATGATAAATATTTGTAAAATATTTTCTGAAATTTGT